TTTAACTGTTCAGTGGGATGGTGATTTGTTTTTGTATCTCCAGCAAAAAGGCCAAACTTCTTAATTACCGTCAATCCAATGAAAACTTGTAAGGTGACCTAAAAGTGGCTTCTCTGGGCATGTAGAAACCAGTATTTTGGAGCTGTTTTAGGCTGATGCTGATCATCCCACTGGGAGGAGGAGAGTTTCTGTTCAAACAATGTTAAATTCTCATATTCTAGCCTGGAGGGCCGTCACAGGTGCAGGAGTGACTATTGCCTGTTTGCAGCCTGAGCTGTAATTTCAGAGGCAAATTGCACAACTGAGGGAAAGAAGGAAACCTGCCTGAGACAGGTTGATTTATTTTACGAAAGGGCACTGAAGTAGCTCATTAATGTGGAATGTTAAAAGCCCTCCCAGCAGAGGAGAATTGGTAGCCAGAGTGCTGTCAATATTATGAAATAAATAATGGATATTTAATCAGTTCAAGGAAGAGAAATATCAACTCCACCATGTTACACTTCATGTGTACAAGGTTCACTGTCATCCTCCAGATGCTCGGTGAAAGGTGTTTTCACAATGTGTACGGAATGGCTGTAGCTGAGGAATATCTGTTACCATGTTTACTGAAAGGGTTGTTGGGCATTGGAACAGGCTGCCCAGGGAGGTGGTTGAGTCACCGTCCCTGGAGGTGTTTAAGTGAAAGGTAGATGTTGTTCTGAGGGCCATGGTTTAGTGCTATTCATAGCGCTAGGACAAAGGTTGGACTCAGTGATCTTGAAGGTCTCTTCCAGCTGAAAGTGTTCTATGATTCTATGATGTCATGTTAACCAGCCCAGAAGCCCTCTGTGGAAGCCCATGAAAAATGCTGTTACCCTTACTGTAACTCCTGAAATACAGGGTTTTGACAGCAAAAAAGTTTGGAGTGAGAGAAGAGAGAGACCACAACAACTGAAAAAAGAAAACCAGAAAAATCTAAGCTAAAACAATGCAGTAGAGAAGGGCTGATTGAGCCATCTGTTGATGACAGAAATAATTTGGCAATTTTAGTATCCACTCATAACTTAAGACTGGGTCATTCTGGCTGAAATTTTCTAGACTGTCTGTTCCGAGCTGATTCCTTTTTTAAAGGAATGTGATAACCGCAGATGGCAGCAACGTGCTCTTTCCTCTTCTAGTTAAACTTCTTCATTTGTCACTGAAAAACAAATGCAGTCAGAGATGTGCTGGGCTTGCCGTCTCCAGTTCCTCCATGATGGGTTTCTTATTTAGCCTTAGTTTCTTATTTAGCCTGTTACTTGGCTCTTCTTCGGAAGTGGAACCACGCTTGAGTTCAGAGCCCTGTCAGGATGACAGAGGACTCCCATCGTCCCTGTAAATTTGAAGTATTGAAAAGGTGATGAAGTTTTAATACTTGTTGTAAAGTTTGTGGTTGAATCTGAGAGGATGCCAGTGTATTAGGAGCTACAGGTAATAGAGAATCTGACAAGGGATATAGGTTGTTCTTTGTAAAGCCAGGTGGAGTTCATACTTGTATGAATTTTAGTGGTATGGTAGGATCTTGTGTCCGTATTAGGCTTGTAGTAACAAGGGCTGTGCTCTGGACTGAGGTCTTGGAAACGTTGAGATATAAGTAATGAGATTCCCATCCCAAAATCTTTGGTGGCTGAAGAGAAGATTGTACCTGTCTAGTGTAGTGTCTTTAATTAAGTGTGATAGCAGCCTCTTGGAAACTACAATCAGATGTCTTTGGCTGATTTTTTTCCAAGAGCTGGAGATATTTGTTGCATGCAGAAGTCCACCAGGACTGTGATTCACACATTATATGGGCAGCATGAGGACTGTAGCTTATTGGATAGTTTTGGAAGGAAGATTTTCTCATTTCATTTCATTTCACTGGAATTTGTTTGCTTGCTCAAACCAAAATGTTTCAGGGACCATGTTGATTTCATGCACAGTGTGCTAGAAACCCAGCAGATTACTGGGACTCGAGTCCTGCCTGTCAAATACCTGGATGCCAGTAGCCCACAGTTACGAAAGATGGCTGCCCTTGGCTGCGTTATCTCCAAGTAGACCCTGAGCCCTGTCAGCAAAACCTCCAGGAACCTGAATACCCTCTGGGGTCTGGAATTCTCCTTGAAAATACAGCAGTGCACAAATAGGTATGATATTCTAGGACATCAAGACCATCCTAATTGTCATGGACAGTCATATCTCTCCTTCCGAATAATCAAGCCCTACCTACAGCTGGGTACCCTTTTGGTACCCGTTAGTCCTGTTTAGAGAAGTTAAACAGATGGAAGCCTTCAAGTGCTCTCTTACAAAGCAGACTTGCCATTTCTTTGATTAGCTCTATTCCATACTTGTAGAATTTGATCTTTATGTTCCTGAAAGTGCCCGATGAGAAGTGTACAGAGTGTTCCAGGCGAGGTCTCGCTGGGGCTGTGTACAATTAGCGTTCCTGCTGGAAATGCCTCCAGAATAAATTCATTGACAGCTTGCATGCCCAAAAGGTGTGGCTGACCTTTGGGCATAAAAAAAAAAACTATTATGAGGCCCAAATGAGGCTTGAGCCATCCATCAACTTTGTGTGTGGGTCGTCTTGAATATCACCAAACCAGATTGGGGACTTTCTGTTTAGGAAAGTAGCTGTGACAAAGAGGGAGGAGCGTTGCACATTTTTGATCTGAGGAACTTTTTAAAAATAGGTTTTTTTCTTTCTGGAACTGAGAAAAATGCAGACTGGAAAGTCGACACAACTGAGGACTAAGAATGACTTGCAAGCGTCAAGACACAGTATTTCTGCTTGATTTTCTTCTGATCACTGATAAATAATACATAAGAATCAAAATAATATGTTTTCATCTCAACTCTTCTAGAAATAGGACATTCCTTCTTTTTTTTTTCTTTTCCAACAAATAGAGACATGACTTTGGGTTTGGGTGGGTTTTTCTTTCTTTGATTGAAATATTTAATTAGTGGGAACTTACTTTCTCATTTATTTTTGCAAAAAAAGCCCAAATGAAAATAAGAGTTATATTCTAAATTAACAAAACAGAAACCTGCAGGTTTTGCAGCTGTATTCCTTTCTGCTCAACAGATAGAAATATAATGTGTGTTTTAAAAGGGTGGAACATTCATTAGGGCAGTGAATAAGAATGTTTGCTGTATCTCTGTAAGCCTGGCAGCTCCTTCCCTCTTGTCAGCTCTTTATTCTCTCTGTCACTCTTAATCCCCTGTCCCACCTACTAAATTGCAGCTTCCTTCATTAATCCACCTTCTCTGCAGCTCTTTCAGGTTTTTCTGAAAGGCTTTAGAGCAAATCCAAGTATCTCACTTATTGCTCCTGCTGCTAATTCTGTTTCTCCTCCTTTAATACTGTAACCAGCATCAGAAACCCATGTGATTTTCCTTTCCTCTTTGAAGTATGAATCTGTTTCCCAGGGCTGACAGTTCTCTGCTTTGATCACAGTCTCTTCAAATCCTTTATCTGTTTGCTAGCTCATTCCAGGCTCCTTCAAGCAAAGGGGTGACCAGCTCTAGAGCGTCCTTCCCAACGTCATGCAGTTGGTGCCCATTTCCCTCTGGCCTTTCCTCTTCCTTTCCCCAGGATCAGTTTTCAGTTCTCCTCTATTTCTTTTGCTCTCTTTTCCACACCAGCTCATCCCGTTCACAGAAGTCAGCGTTTAACGGGGGCTGTGGAAGGCTCCCACCACCCATGCCTCTGTCTCACCCAGCTTGTCTGGTTGCCTTCTTGTGGGTGCCTGTGCTGGGATGTTGTCGGTCCCGAGGTTCCTGCTGTCCTCCCTCTTCCAGAGCAGTATGTAGGCACAGGATGAAATGGAGGAGCTGCACACTCACTCTCCTTTTGCCAACAGTTCATCATAACTTTCCTTTCCAAACCTTGTGTTAGGGCCTTGCAGTCTACCTCTTGACTCACCTGCCACCCTTTGGGTTAACTTAATAGTCTGGTGGGGAGAACATTTTATCTTGAGCATCCTGGAAGAGAGCGACAGTTTCCCTGTGGGGTTGAAGAGCTGTCAGTGCACATCTGGGAAACACTGCACTTCTCAGGGATCTGACTAATAGGAGTTGATTTGGGAGCCTGTGATTTCGGTTATTTTTCCCTGTGAAGCACGCCAACGAGGGGTATATCTTTCCTCTCCACCGTATCTTTCCCCTCCACTAACTGGAATGTGGTAACACCGGTGATGAGATAATGTCTGCTGAACTGGCAGTGGTCTAGCTCATGGGCTGGGAAAGGAGGAAAAATCAGCAGCTTGAATAATGTCCAGGACCTCTGTCTTCTCCTGTGGCATAAACCCTCTGTGTGTTTCATCTGCTTCCGTTATAGGGAATTCAGTAGGGGGGGAAACTGTGGGTTTAGTCAGTGGTTCTTTCTATTTTCATGCCATTTGCAATAACTATTTCAAGTGGCAAGCGTAAACATCCAGTACCTTTTTTTTCCTGGAAATCAGGTACATTTTGTAACTTTTTTCACTTTGTGACTTATTGGTGGCTACTTGGGTGGCTGCCGACCTTGCCTATTGATAGACCTGGCAACTGGTTGATGGCAACGCAGGGAAGCAACCCATGTGCAGACTATGAGACTTGTGTTTTCCTTATAGAAATACTATGTACGTCAAACTACTTAATGTCTTCATTTCATTATAAACAATTTTAATTAAAAAGCTTTTGTAATTAGTTCTGCTTTGAGCCCTTTTTTCAATCTCCTTTGGTAAGAGAGAGATCTCATTTTGAAGTTCTCTGTAGGCCCCCTACTACAGCTGAAGAGCAGAACAGTAACCATCTGTCAGCATATCTTCTTAGTCTTTGGGAGTAATTCAGTAATTAACTTCAAGTGCAGTTGGCAGTGTTACACATTTCATGAAACAGTTATGAAGGAAAGTACTTCAGGAAAATAGACCTTTCAGTGTGCATCGTAGAGTTGCAGGCAGCTTTTTGTGTGTGTTTTTTTTTTATTACCTTTGAAATAATTGTGCTCTGCTTTTTTATTGCAGTACTTACTAGAAATGAAAAGCTTAATTCTGCCCCCTGAACATATTCTGAAGAGAGGGGACAGTGAAGCAATAGCATATGCTTTCTTTCATCTTCAACACTGGAAAAGAGTAGAGGGGGCATTGAATCTCTTACACTGTACATGGGAAGGCAGTAAGTAATTCTCTTTCTTACAAAGAAGCTAATCAAATGTTATTATTGACTGTCATGAGAAAATAATAGTTATTTGTGAAGTACAGTATGTGGAAATTTTGGAGGTCAGTTATATCCTTACCAGCATTGAAATACTGGAAATTCAAACTGAAAATACAAACTTCATTTAATGAGAAGAAGGGTTCTGAAGTCTTGGATTGTGTTCTCTGTGTAATACTGAACAAAATTTCCCATCTTTGATACATATTTTCTTACTTGTGGATAAGGGGATGATAATTTACCTTCCTCACTCCGGAGCTGTAGAGATTTGTTTATCATTATTTGAATGAACAGTTTTAATCTGAAAGAGGGTGGATTTAGATTAGACATAAGGAAGAAATTCTTGACAGCAAGGGTGGTGAGACACTGTCCAGAGAAATGATGGATGTTCTAACATTGGAAGTTTTCAAAGTCAGGTTGGATGGGGCTTCGAGCAGTCTCATCTAGTGAAAGATATCCCTGCTTGCATCGGGGGAGTTGAACTGTTGGACTAGATGATCTTCAGAGGTGTCTTGTGACCCAAACTATGATTCTATGAATGCTTTGATATTGGGAAACTAGGAAGATGCCTTACAGGCAGATAAATATTAATGTATAGTATAAACCTATACAGTATGTTATGACTTTTTTTAAACCAACAAACTGGAGTGAGTTGGGTGGAGGATTACTAGGATGCATAGAGGACTGGAATATGTGACATAAGAAAAGATGTGGAGGGAGCTGGTTTCATTCAACTTTGAATAGACTTCTGGTAGGTAAAGGAGAGATCCAGTTGCTGTCTTCCACCACGCAACAGAGGGATGATAGGGAAGACAGAGTCAGAATCTCCACAGAACAGCACAGTGGGAAGACAAGAAGTGATACACACAAATTGAAACAAGAAATTTAATCGCAACATAAGAAAAATATTTTCAGAATGAGAGTGGCGATACATTGAAACAGGTTGCTGATAGGTTGTGGGATCTCCATCCTCAGAAGATACTCAGAGCTCACCTGGACTTTGCTCTGAGAAACCAGACCTAACTTGGAAGATGACCGTGCTTTGAGTAGGAGGTTGGAGTATATGACCTCCACAAGTCATATACTAACCTTCTAACCTGTCTTATCCTGCTTTTGAGATGTAGGGGGTTTTTTTCATGTTGCAGAGAATTAAAACGTGCTGTTCATAATCAGCTTTTATTGGCTTTTTTAGGGCAGATTTTTCTTTATGTAATCTAGTTCCCATTTTCTGCTCTGCTTTGTTCCATTCTCTCTTTATATGTTATTATACCACATTCTCTTTTTTTTTTTTTTTTTACTGTTCTCACTTAGCTTTGCTGGAAAAACAATTTTGTCACCATGTTAATTCCTAGAGAAATGCCCTTAATGCCTCCATGGTAAAAGTGACCTTCTGTCTCATTCACTGTTATCAAATGGCCTAGACTTGCCTCATTTGCAGTGTAGGCTCCCTGAGGAAGCAATGGCTTTGTTTTCTGGGGGTATAGAACACCTTGGTCAGCCATGCATACCATTGCCACCTGAGGTTTGCTCTGCTGCCTTATTCTGTCCTGTCTGGTAGCTCTTTCCTGTCATTTCTCCCAGTCTATTATTTTCTCCATCACAGCCTCCTTCCCAGTGGCTTCTTTTCAGTGGTTTGCTTTTACATAGTGTTTCTTCTCTTCCAGACGCTTGCAAGAGTCCTTTGGCCCAAGGCTTGTTAACCTATCATTATGTAGCAGTATTTTGCAGGGAATCCTGAACAGATTTTCTTTTGATTTGTCAGGCTGGGGAGTCCCTGCGGGGCTGTTTCCAAGGCCCAGCTTTTGGCACAGGAAGCTGGCTGCTTAGGAAATCTGGTAATATGTGCCTGAAGGCAGTGTAGGGCATTCCCATTCAACCACGTTAACTGATCTGAGTATGTAATTTATTACCTAATATTTGGTTAATAGCCTGTAAAGATGTAAATGAGTATTGTTGCATAACCTCCAAAGAAAAATCTACTCATTTTGCATAGGAATTTCAGAGGTGAACAGTACACCAGTCCTCAAGAATGTTGTTCCGATTTTGCTCATGCAGAAAGACTCCCGTGGGTTTTAATGGTTTCATCAGTATCTTGTCCAATAATCATTGGTCTATATCTTACTCTGGGTAATACTCTTTATGGATTTAGTGAACTATTTATGTCACTCTTACATCCTTTACTTGCAAACGGTTTCCTTGGCGTCTCTGCACAAAACCAGTGGAAATATGACAGAGAAATTAAATTTAATTAAATATTAATTCTAACCAACAGTCTACATACAGTGCAAAGTTAGTTGCCCTCTCTTTCTTTCTAGGTATCTATGTACTTGCATGTCTTTAAAGTGTACCATTCTGTCAATGTGCTTAAATAACCACAGGTCTCCCTTCAGTAGCTTGTATGGAGGAGTTTAATGCCACATATATACAATATTTGGTTCTGACCGTGTGGGAGTTGGACAGAAATAAGTAGATTAAGTCAGTAACTTTAGGGGGACATTTTGAATGTTTATGAGGAGAATAAGGTAGCTCCTAATTAAGAGAGCCTCTAACAAAATTTGTGCAGAAATGTCTCTCTAATAATGTAGACTCCAAAATTCTCACAGAATGGTTTCCTAAATTGCATTCAACAGCTGAGAAAAGTGAGGTTATAAAAATAAAGATCATCATCGAACTGGAATGTTGGTTTTTTCATACTCTGTCTTCATTTGATTAGTCAAAGTACAGTTTTATTCATAGTAGAGCTAAAAAAGCCCAAGTGGCACCACGTGAAACTTTGCTCTGGATTTGGTCCAGGTGTACTGTATGGAAGGTTTGTAGCTTCAGAATTTCAAAAGAGCCTCGAGGTGTGTGTTCATCACCATCAGTTTCTAACTATGTGTCACGTTTCCATGAAGAAATAAAACCTGGGCATTCTCAAATGCTGCAATGGCTCTTAGGACGAGCACACGGTTGAGTAGCAAACTGCCTCTGTGCTACCTGACTTGATTAATGTGAAATAGGATCAGATAATATTGTGCAAGTAAAGCAGAGAAGTACCTCCATAAACACAAAATGATACAGATGAGCCACAGCACTTTCCTCACTGGCCGATAACATTGCTAAATAAACTGTTTTGCTGTAAACATTCCATATTTGATCTCACATTGAAGATGACTGTTTAAATTCAGCAAAATCTATTCAGACATTTTGCACTAGTTTTGTAAAAGCAACATCTTTGCTATCCCTTTTTATTTTGATTAGAATCTTAATACTGTAGGGTAAGGAGGAAGAGTCTTGAGTGACTGTTTAAATATTAAGCCAGATTGGAATGAAAACCTTGTGTTAGTGATTTTGAAGTATTGAACATCCCTCCACATATGGTGTTGTACAGACATTCAAGTTTGTTGCATGCAAAGATCATACAAGGCTTGGATTATTGTATTTGTTCTTGGCTTTTTGGGGTGCTATGGAAAGGGGGGGTTTAGTACTGCCAGAGATGGTTGGTTTACAATCTTCGAGGAGTTCTGCAATCTTTACTATTGCTTAGAAATCAAGAAATCTAGAATCTAGGAAAAATACACTCATATAATTGCAAAAAAAAGTACAGCTTGCTTACATTATTTCAAATACAGTATGCACAATTGAAAATATTGGAGTACTGTGTGTTTTAAACCCATTCCTCAGTCACCTTGTGAGCGAGAGATAATGGAGTGTTATCGTGTGGCGGTGGGCTGTACCTAACATCCAAAATGTACAGTGCTTCTGGGACGTATGTTGAGGAAAATATTGCTTCAGTGACTGGTGTTCTTAGGAGTAGTGAGAATAACACGCTGATGACATTTTAACAGTGAGAATAACGTATAGGATAATGGAAAAGGATGCCTTGATTGCAAAGCTATAATTCAGTCAAGTCTTCTGATGTTTCCATAAACCACACTCAGATGGCCGATGACATCGTCGCCCATCCAGATTTAGTAATCCATTTCCCTCTCCCTCTGTTATTATCTTCAATTTCAAAAATGCCTAAGAGTATGTACGATTTAATCCATGATCTGAAGATTTATATTGGGAGCTTGACTTGATCTGCTGCGTTCTAAAAAAATGCCTGTGAGGAACCTGGTGTTCATAATTCAGTATTAATCTTTGATTGCCAAATGTAAAATGAAAACATGACTGTGTTGGAAAACTGGTTCTCTGGGCTTGAGCTGTCAATGTTACCTGGCTTGCTGGAGTGCGACAAGAAAAAAGTAGGGTACTTTCCTCCATGCAAAACTTTTATTATGCTCGATGCACAGAGATTGACAGTATTGGCTTGAATTCACAAGCTTAGTTGGTCATTTTTGTAGGCTATACATGTTATGTCAGATCCATTTCTTTCCCTTGAACTTTAAAAACTCTGCAACTTAAAAGACTAAAACAAAATACGCAAATTCAGCTATGGAATTGTAAGTACAATGCGTTCTAATCATGCAAACATTTATGTATCTACTTGTAATGTGATCTCACTTTACACTCGTGAACCTTCTCCCAAGATAAAAACGAGACAGAAGTGTTTGCAGCATTAAAAGCTAAGTGTAGATTTATATTTTGGCATTTCATTAAGTAATTTATATGCTGTTTGCAACCAAATGTAAATGTTATGCTTTGTCTGTGTTTGATTTTCAAAATTAAAAATAAATATATATATATGTCCCTTGACTGCCACACTCACAATAACTTGCGCATGGTCTTATTTTTTTTTTTCAGCTTTCAGAATGATCCCCTATCCACTGGAAAAAGGACATCTTTTCTACCCTTACCCTATTTGTACAGAAACTGCAGATAGAGAGCTACTACCATGTATGTTCAGCTTTTCTCTTCTCATCACTAACATCAAAGAATCATTTACCTGAGCCTTGCAGCACTGATCTCCCATCGATGCCTCTCAAATTGAATACACTGGATTAGAATAATTGGGTTGACAGGAAGTGTCTGGAGCTCCCGTGATGATTTAAGAGGCAGCTCCCAGCTGTAGTTCATAACAGTCCGCTATCTTTAGAGCTAATTGTCAGTGTGGGGATGGAGAGAGAGATTACTGAAGAGGTATGAATCAGTTAGATCTTGCTGTTCTGTCTTGCAAAGACACTGGAAAATACATCTTATCTTTCATCTGGGATAACATCAAACGAAAGGCACGGTGGCACAGCCTTTTTCGTCTTCTGTAGGCACACTAGCTGCTTAACCTCCAAGGCAAGATGAAATCTGCTTGAGGACAGCTGGATTACTAACATGGCTGTTATTCTGCCAGGTTATGATGACATTTTCTGAAAAGCAGTCTCAAACAGCTACTGTGAAGAGCTTGATATGAAATTACCTTGGTTATTTATTATATATGTTTACTGCCTGTATTAGCAAAGTGCCAACAGTGTTCCCTGTGCTCTGTGAGATACAGACAGAGTCAGATCTAGTCAAGAAACGTTACAGTCCAAGCCAATGAGCCTCGTCACAGTGCACACAGGGAAGCACAGGAATGCAGAGGAAGAGCCGAAGCAGCCCGTCTTGCAAACAGTTGTGCTTCACTCCCACGTGTTTTCTCACCGTGGGACTTTGTGTGAGCATGAATGGAACATACACGCACGCAGAGAGGTTTCCTGGGTCGGGACAAAAGGAGGCAGATAAAGAAAAGAGAGTCTTCTCTCACCTTCTCTGTACTGAAGAAGGAATAAAGATAAATCTGTTCTGGAAAAAAGTAAAACGTATCCCGATTCTGCTGTGAAGACTGGTTTTGAGAGCATTTGCTCTCTTTCTAGTCTTCCGTTCAGAATCTCTGTGGTTTGGGCTGAAAAATATGTTGCCACTTTTTATAAGCCTATGTGAGTAATCATTAGGTGAGAATAATACAGTGAAAATCCACTCATTGCAGGTCTCCTTCACAGTACGTTCTCGCTGATATTACACAGAAACCCTTGGCAACTGCCAGTATCTCCCCACCCCATTATAATCACCCTAATTGTAACAGCACCTCTTAGAGCACTCTGCTTGCTTTACTCAGAGGGATGCTGAGCTGGGGAGGGTGGAGTGTCAGGAGATTTAGGAATGCCAAAGTCATGCAGAATAGCTCAGTGTTCTCTTTTTAGATGCAAAACTACTTGTTCTTGTCAAATGTTAGAAGCGAGGGACTCTTTAACAGCTTATGCAGACGGTCGTGTTCTGCTCTGGCAGTTCTGGGAAATGCCTTTCACTGCAAAATCCCTTGGGATTGAGCAGGGAAGGGTTTAACATACCATGACAGACACAGGTCAGTTAAAGGGGGTTTTTACATACCTGTCCACACGCATTAATGACGTGTGTTTTAAAGGAGAGTCAGCTGGAATTATATCAGAACACTAAGAGCTGACAGGTTATCCGAATCAAAAATATCAACCACAAAGACTTTTGCCATGGTTGGATAACAGACCGGAACAGATTTGAGCCTGTGTCAAAAGAGAGTGCAAAAAAATAAACACAAGAAATCTTAGAAAACTCATGACCTGGTATATCCCAATCTCTAAATTTAATTTAAATCAAAGAGAGGTTACAAATTATCTGTGTTTTCCTTTTAAAACTGATTGAGTTAGCAGACCCCAAAATCATACATATTTTTAGTTTCTAGTATTTTAATTTAAACTCTTACAAATTCTTGCTGTTGGTTTTGGAAACCACTCCACTCTGGATGGACGCAGTCAAGAATATTGTCCTGCCACTGTTGGATTACCCTGTGCTTACGCTGTCTGCAAGTACAATGAGATGAGAGCTGATCACTGAAGGAGAGCAAGCAGACAGAATGGAAGAGTAACATTTTGTGTGTGTGAATAGTCATAGGATTTGTGTATATGGTAAGCCTTGAAGTTGGTCCTGTATGAGGAAAAAAGTTTCCCAGTTAGCATTGATCGTGATTGTAGCTCCAAAATGTGAGCTGAATGAGTGAAGCTAAGATAAAGACAGATAAAGAGCCCACCAGACCTTTTGCCAAGCCAGCGAAATGTTCACCTTGAATCTGAGTCACGATAAAAGTTTATTCTTCCAGAAAAATATACATTGTCCTCTTCTGACCCTTTTAGCTTTCTCAGTGCTGCTTTGTTCAAGGCCCAGTGAGTGATTTTTCATACTAGAATCACGGAAATTTCTGTGTTTATTTTTGTGTGTACTAACAAATACCTTAAAAAATCACTGTTAATTTAAATTCCAGGTTTTGATGCTTTAAAATATTGTTGTACTAAGTATACAGAGAATTCTGAAAATCAGAATTTAAAGTACGTGTTTATGTGTCCTCCTTTTAGGATAATGTTTCTTGGTTGTGCAGATTAAACACTCAGAATTTACTGGTACAAAGGCACTTGTTTTACAGCTTGCTTAAGCCGACCTACAACCACACTTCTGGACAGCTGGTCCCACTGCTGCTCATGGGTGCATGTTTTTGCGCCACCTGTGTATGAGCATTAGCAAACATGCAGCCATGTGGCTGGCCAATGACCTACATAAAGAAAAAAAAGAATGTTTTATTTGTACTGGGACCAGTACTATTCAATGTATTTATTCATCAGCAAACTTGATGAGGGAATAGAGTGCACCATCAACAAGTTTGCTGATGGTACAAAACTGATGGAGTGGCTGACACAGCAGAAGGCTGTGCTGCAGAAATTTTATGAAATACAGCAAAGGCAAGTGTAGAGTCTTGCAGTGTGGAGGAAAGAGACCTGGGGGTCCTGGTGGACAGCAGAATGACCGTGAGCCAGCAATGTGCCCTTGTGGCCAAGAAGGCCAATGGCATCCTGGGCTGTATTAGAGGGAGTGTGGTTAGTAGGTCGAGAGATGTCCTCCTGCCCCTCTGCTCTGCGCTGGCGAGGCCACATCTGGAATATTGTGTCCAGTTCTGGGCCTCTCAGCTCAAGAGAGACAGGGAACTGCTTGAGAGAGTCCAGCACAGAGCCACAGAGATGATGAAGGGAGTGGAACATCCCCTTATGAGGAAAGGCTGGAGGAGCTGGGTCTCTTTAGCTTGGAGAAGAGGAGGCTGAGGGGTGATCTCATAAATGTTTATAAATACGTCAAGGGGGAGTGTCAGGAGGACGGAGCCAGGCTCTTTTCAGTGATGCCCAATGATAGGACAAAGGGCAATGGGTGGAAGCTGGAATATAGGGGCTTCCACAAAAACCTTGGGAAAAACTTTTTCACTGTGAGGGTGACAGAGCACTGGCACAGGCTGCCCAGGGAGGTTGTGGAGTCTCCTTCTCCAGAGACATTCAAAACCCACCTGGACACATTCCTGTGTGCCTTACTCTAGGTGATCCTGCTCTGGCAGGGCGGTTGGACTAGATGATCTTTTGAGGTCCCTTCCAACCCCTGACGTTCTGTGATTTGTAGGTTAATTTTCAGGGGTATGTACATAGAAGCTGACTAAGCCAGAAATGCGATCCTTAGATGAGAATTACTTGGCAGCGAGATCACTGACAGAACAATAATACTGGCCTCAGGTGTTTCAGACCTTCTGTGTATTTCTTCCTTCAAAAGCATATTTGGGTGTCTCTGACTGTTTAAACTATGTGAGAATGTTGGTCTGGATTTGGTTGAGGAGTTTTGGGCTTGGGGTTTTTTTTTGTTGCATATAATGTATTCTCCTTGCCGTCTTTTATTCTACAGCATTTCATGAAGTTTCAGTTTATCCCAAGAAAGAGCTTCCCTTCTTCATCCTCTTCACTGCTGGGCTATGTTCTTTCACAGCCATGCTAGCCCTCCTGACACATCAGTTCCCAGAGCTTATGGGGGTCTTTGCAAAAGCTGTGAGTATTCTCTGCTGCTACTCTCTTCTGGTAAATAAAGACACAAGGCACAGGAAGAGCTGAAATTGAAAGAATCCAGCTCTTTCATTGTTTTGTCAGACTGAATATTAGTAACTAAAATCACAGGAGATTTTAGCATTTTCACTCAGTTAGGGAGAAGCACGTTCATAGCTTGTGGTTTCAATTTTTGCTAGCCTTTCTGACAAAAGGCTTTTGGAAATCATTTAAGATACGAATTTGAGCAAAACAAATTTGTGATTGCATGGTTTGGATAAAATTGTCATCACGGTGTTGGTAGTGTTGAATTTCTTGCATTGTCATGCAGAAAAATAATATCTGGGAAAGTGTTAAAAATATATAAGTGCATGTTCTTTCATAAAAGAGTAGAACTCAGTTTTATTTAAGAATATATCTTAAAATTGAGAGTTGTATTAACAAGGAGGTCACTATGTAAAGAGTCAACATTTCTGTCTAGAAGTTATGCCTAGTTATGTTTTTAAAATGAGGGAAACTTCATCAGAAAGTCTAAATTTTCTCTGATTTAATTCCTTTTTGCCTGGGATTATTGACATGATCTGTTTTAATATTTGCTCTATGGTGGATGAGACCTCAGTTCAGCAAGAGGGTTTGCCCAGGGAGATATTTCACCTGCTTGGACCTCTACAGACACTGAGGCAGGGAACACCTCGTTCAGGTTGCACGGACTGAGCAAAAGTCAGTTCCTTCATGCAAACATCAGCCACACAGTGGAAAAGCTTGAAAAGATACTTTTGTGTATGCATCTTAATCAAATTATGCAATTCAGAAGGTGGTCCCAGAAATCTACTTTCTGTCAGCTTTGAAATAGCTAGGTTGATGGTTTTCTTTAAAAATGGTGCTGTGGACTCACTTGAGGGAAGAGA